TATTCACGGTGATAATAGATTATGGCATCATTTCAGTCTGATTTAGTGCCAGTGCCGGATTTAGACAAAGCGAGGCCATGGGAAGCTATATAGAGGCAATATTTGGTATAAAATAAATATGAGGGGGAGGTCCTTCAGACTGAGTTCAGACTTTGGGGCCCTAAGCTGTAGCTTGTTTAGCTTACGCCTAAATCCGGTACTATTTAGAGCTGTAGCTTGTTTAGCTTACGCCTGAATCCGGTACTATTTAGAGCTGTAGCTTGTTTAGCTTACGCCTAAATCCGGTATTATTTAGAGCTGTAGCTTCGAGATGATTACAGCATAAAATACATTCGCATCTATAACAATACTACAGATAAACAAGATTGTTCCAAGCCAAGTAAAATGTAATGGCTGCTATATACGGTATAAACGGCTGTATTATTGGTGTACCACCAAATGTTGAATTATAAAGTGTTGGTTTAAAGTTCTATTTTCTATGTCGACGTTTTACAGTGTGTATTTTGAATTACACAGCGGTGGTTGAAATTTCAGTATCATATGTCGAAAATCTCTAATTCACACGTTGTATGTAACTGTTTGTGATGAAAGTTCTATTTCATATTTAGATTTCATCTTGAATTTCACAACAACGAGAAGCAGCCTCCTTGCTTAAAAATAACGGTGTCCTTTTACGAGAGCGACCTCTAGCGAAGAAGTTCATGATAATTCTCGACCTGTGAATGGTAACTTTCAAATTGTAAATGCATGAAATGTAATAGCGCCTGATAAATGAATACACAATTGATGTATCTTAATACTCGATATTATTTTGAATTTTTTTAAAGTGGACATTTTATAATGCTACTTTTAACACCAACACATCATTTCACCATACACAAATAGCAATTCTGACAAACACAATAAAATGCCCAACCACCGTCTTGTAATTCAACAGATACTATCTAAAAAAAACCTCAACATACGAAATGGAACTTTCAACACAATCAATTTGATTCAACATGTTAAACTGAAACTCTCGACATTTGACACTATAATTTCAACAGCCGCCGTGATATTCAGAAGATACACTCTAAAAACTCGACACTAGATATCGAATTTTCAACCTGAACTGTCAAACTCATCAGAAGAAATCTACATACTCAGCATATGAAATGAAACTTTCAACAAAAACTCGTTCAACTAATACGTAAATTAGGAATTCTCGACCTATGACATTGAAATTTCAACGACCACTGTGTACTTCCGTGTAAAACATTGACATAGAAAATAGAACTTTCAACCACTACTGTTTAATTCAATAGATACATTCTAAAATCTCGACGTAGAAAAAGGAACTTTAAAGACAAATATTTCTGATGCAACACGTGAAATTTGAATTCTGAACATATGCCATTAAAATTTCAACGGTAGCGTCATGATTGGACGAGCTTTTGTCTGCTACGGCGCCTCATTGGCGAATGTTTTAGACCATACGGCCATAAAGGGTAAAACTTAGGTCATTCATGTAGCGCGAAAGGTCATGTTTCATCACAATGGCGAGAAAACATTATTCGCCCTCGAAGTGACCGGTGCAACTAGGTTTGTGCATAATTCATAAGAAACGTTGAAATCTTAAAAATCATAAAGGAGCATACCTGATTATCGTCCGTGGCTTGCGATGAATGATTCAGATATACTTTTAGAGACACTATAGTATAGATAGCATGAAAAATGTTTGGACACACAAAGTAATTCCAAAATTTTCACGTTAACGTTATAGGTATTCAGAAAGGAAAAAAAGTAGATGTCACATGCTCTAACTCCAAGGACCTTACTTTAACACATGCATGTATCATGGTTATATAATTAACTGTAACGGTGTATTCAAATATAAGAGAAAAAGCCTTTATAAAAAGGATTCGGAAATGATGTTTACATAGAATATTGTATGGCGTGCTATAACTGTAATGCAAGCTATGAGGCAATATTTTCAATTCATTGATATCATTTGCAGAAAACTTCCCTCAAAAATTAAATATTGGCAAAAATTAAATGCTCAAAGATGTTTCGCAATCAGATGTAAAACAACCCACAATAAATCAAAAATGCATTAAATTTATATAAGCAAATGCCTTAAAACTGCGAGAAATTACAATAGTGCAAACATATAAACAGATCATAAGAGACCTCATTCTAGCAAACCAAAGTTCAATATAGCAATTTAGGATAAGCTTTGATGGAATCGTGACTACACATGTGGCACATCTAGAGAGGTTTACGTCGGTCCATACAAAAGTCACAAGGTCATGTTCTGATTGAATATACATATATACACACACTTTTTTTTTATTTTACAACTATACCTTAGTTGAAGATTAGATACAATCTCAAAATGATGTACTCCTCTACATTACCAAAACGCACGCATACACGAGAAAGGGTTATCGAGTATTATATATACTGAAGGGGGTGGAAGAAGAGAAGGATTATTTGGCATTAACCAATCATGGGAATATGAAACGAAGTGGCAAAGTGCATATTTAAAAGAAATAAAAAATAATAAATCTAAATATATTTGAAGCTGAGATATTTTATTAAAATGCAAAGACCATCTGCTTCCAGGCATTTACTATTTTATGTTAAAAACAGACACCACGACAAACAACATAAATTTACAGTGAAATTATTGATACTAAAAATCCTCAAAAAATAATTAATTACTGACGTACAGTACTTAGGAGTATTTTGTAAGGAAATTGACCCATTGTACAACGATGTTGCTAACTAGTATGGGTTCGGATTCGGAATGTTTACTAGGAGAATTCGATTTTCCTTAAGAGTGCACCTCTTTTGTTTGTATTCTTTTTTTCTTTTTTCCGTCTTTTTGTATGCTGAAAAGTTACGTATTCCAAATGGAAGACTGGTAGGGGGAGAGAGGCTATATCCCTATATAAATTTTCCACTGTGGTGGACAAATATGAATGACAGTTCATGTCATTGACTTTTTGTTTTATTAGAACAAAAGCTTTCAGGAGAAGGTAAAGCTTCACGTGAAAACGTGGATTTTTCACAAATTTTTGTCGGTCATACAAGGTCAAAAGCTTCGTGTAAAAGTGATCCCATTTTCTTGTAGAAAATGTTTTATCTGGCAGATCGTGTAAACACCAAGATTTTTCGACATTAAACTTGTCCTGATGTGTTCCTTCTTCACGAGAAATATGACAGAGATACGTGAATATTATTCTTTTCTTTTGAGAAAATTAAAATAATTGATGAATTGGTACTTTATAAAAGAAAGTAGTTACATAATTGCATCGACGTGTACAGGAACCTTTTCGTTGATTTGTTGTGAAACTACTTTTTTTTCCCACCAAAAAAGTAACATTTTGTGTTAAAATTTTAACTTTTTTAACGAAATATTCAACGTAAAAAAGTTTTTTCTTTAAAAAATGGAACATTTTTTTTATGAGCATTACATATTTTCACGAAATAATTCTTTGCTTAACGAATACTAATTTTGTCACTTTTTCACGAAAGTGTTACGTTTAACTTTATTAGTCGTCACCAAACAATGTCATTGCACATTCGGGCAAGTTTTTCACAAAAGTAGGGTTTTCGTGAGAAAATGTCATTTTCTTCAAGAATAGCTCTTTACTTATCGATGTTGGCAAATTTTTCATGGGACTTTTTTTTTTTTTTTAAAGAGAGTGGTCTCGTTTCAACTATTTTTTTTTACCTCACCGTACAAAAACGCTTTGTGTGGGCAATACTGTACTGGCAACAAAACTTTCCTTGAAAGAAGTTTGTATATAAACTGACATTGATGGACATGACTCAACCTGCCACATATGGATGTGTCGTGAAAACGTGGATCAATGTTGATTATTTTGTATTAACATTGTGAATTATGGCGGTGCTCATGTGTCATGTTACCCTTAGGTATGAGCTTGGCCTCTAAATAACTATGTCCTTTGTTGATACACGCCATGGCAATGTGGCTTAACATTACATAGATTTTAAAACTTGGCAGGAAAGAACCGGTTCTATGCTGTTGAGCGGTTACACAGATTGAACTATATAATGAACTAGATGAACTGTAGGAGCACGTGACGTTCAAATGACTCCTTACGAAAGAAGGCGGTAGCCAATGAAAATTGGTTTGACAAGGATAGATCGGGACCAAAGGGTATATAATTAGACTGGTTTAATGAGAAAGAGCTTGTCTTGTTAAGAACTGTAAAGTAACTTTCGAGAACCCGCTTATTCAAAGTGGTATCTATATAATGCACTGCGCATGAGCTTTACAATCAGATCGGCTACCAAGACCATTTAATTTAGATATAGAAAGTGTTCACAGGAAATTTTATTAATGTTTTTTGTAAGTTTTACCATTAATTTTCAAAAATTACGTCAACAAGGGAAAGAAGAACAAAGGGCTTAATTGGGCTGACACAGGTAAATTACGCTGAATTTGAAAGACCGCGATTGTGAAAACATTTTATAACGATATACTGGGCACGTTGCTTGATATCTTGCCGTGGCCATTTTTGAACCAGATTAGGCGATTTTAACACTTTGTCAGTCTTCACTTTTAAGCAATGGCCAGTTAGTACTTTTTAATACATTTAATATCGTAATATTATTATTCGACTCAAGATTATAAAAAAAAGAACTCTTACTGAAATGGTTTTGGCTGAATCTTGGTACAAGCGGGTTTCGTTCTTGCATGTGGGACGAGATTATTTTGGCGCACCTTCAAGAATACGTCATCACTGTATGAAAATTTTGTTATAGCGTAGTTGGTTACACCAATTTTCAGTAGGAGTCGATAAATAACCCCATATTCAATGAAAATTGAATTTCAGTTGGCGTGAAGGAATCGGTTGTGAAGTGATATGCTTAGCGGACCGTGTCCTAAAACGTTCATGTATCAGATAGAATATATTTATTGGTGGACCAGCAGTGTGTGACTTATATCCAGTGTTTTTTGCATAGTTATCTTTTAATAAATTAAGTAATTTTATGTAATGCCCAGTATGGCCTGGTTAGAGCGTCCGCCTCGGATGCGGGAGGTCGTGGGTTCAATCCCCGGTTTAGTTGAGTCCTACCAAAGACTTAAAAAATGGTACTAACAGATGCCTCGCTTGGCTCTCAGTATTAAGAGGTTAGTGTTAGGACTGGTTGGCCTGGTGTCAGGATAATATGACTGGGTGGGACATCATGCTACATGTCTGTGGCATGATGCCCCAGTGCTAGATATCACTATAAACTGCCACACTGCATACATCATAGAGATATGACTGTAAAATTGTTAAAGCTCTGTCAAAAATCATAATCACATCACATCCATTTTCTTAATGTGACCATTATGCTGGGAGGTAGTCAGAGACATCTGAGAAGTGGGAATTCACCATCATTATACTGTGGTGCATAGGGTAGCAGCTTCCTCGGCAGACCCAGCATACTTAAATGTTGCATTGAGTTGTACCTTCATGAGTTTTAAAGGATTTTGATTTATGATATTTTGCGAGTATTCTACATCAGTCTTAAATCCACTCACAGATGAGATGAAGATAGAGCTTATGAAATTTACTTGAAAATAGCCATTTGTATTATTAGTCATATGACAAATCTTGCAACTGGACTTGAAAAGTGATGTTCATATGATATTAACCAAGCATTTTCCTTGACCCTCATTTGTTCATCTTAAACCTACCAAATTTTTAAATTGACAGTATTTTTTGAGATTTGTTTTTGCTTAGTTTGACCCTTGCTTTTAATGAACATGATTTTCTCTTTCTGACCCTAGGGTATACACTAAACCCATTTTCAGTATTGTACAGAAATTTGAAAATATTGACAGAAAGACATTGTATGAAAAAAATATGAAGGGTAACATTTTCCACATTTATTCTGAGATCAACAAGAAACCTGCCTCTGTTGCAGGAACTTTGAGAAAGATTAGTCTAGAACAGAGCACATGTCAAAATAGCACAGGGGCTTGTATTATTGCTTACAATGTACCTGTCATACATGTAGTATGCAACAACTAGGGAGAACACTTCTCTTCTTTCTTGTGCAATCTATTTAAGAAATGCTGATATTTCAAGCTATATTTAGCATAGCATAATAAATTTGGTACAGATATTTAGCTCTGTCATTTAACTGTATCCCTATCCAAAGTTTGACTAACATCATGCCTTTAAAGAATTGCAGACCATTGTTCCACACTACACTTCACATGACCCAGATTGCACCCACTTAATATGAAAGTAAAATCCCCAGAATGGAATACTATATTTTGATTAAAAGAAAATGACATCATGCATTTATTTATAACTTATTTTCAGTTGATTGATGAAGAGGCAGTATTCTAGTTCTTGCATATTATAGAGGTCTCTAAGATTTTAAAACTAGGAGTCCAGGACTCAAAATTTGGTAAAAAAAATGGAAGTCCCAACAATAAAAGATGCAGTCCCCACTAAGCCAGGCATCACATACTTAACACTTGGCTACTGTTGCATCTGAACTATCTTTTCTAGCAACACTATCACAGTTCTGAATCTCTTTGAAATCTTCATTATTTTGTTTAACCCCAACATACTTGTACAAATTTGTGAACAGCATTTTATTCAAGTCTCTTGATTACAAAATCTCTGGTAGTATTTGTACAGCAACAATCGGAAATGAAATCGATTAGTGATCATGCTTGGCTTTGCCTGTCGCAAATTGCGATTTTGTTTTCCTTATTGCCAACAAAATACACCATCTGCTGATATTTTGGTGACATTTTGGAGGATAAAAATAGTATATACAGACATGTGTTTGGAGTGGAGAAATTCAAAGGCACCATGATGGGAATCCACAAACTTGGATATAAAAATGCACCTGTATCTATTGTGACATAAACAAATCCTTATTTCATACTGACCAATCACTCTAACAGTGCATTGTTACACCGTAATCTGATTATGATTATATCTGGTCTTGATACTGTATGCTTGCTGCAATATAATCAAGAGCCATGCAACTGACTAGCTACAATCCACCATCTGAGAGGAAATGTGAAATGACTAGCCGATCACACAGTTTTAAAAAATCCCGGAAAGAATCCTTTTGCTGCAACTTAAAAGAAAACTGATTACCTCTGAAGCACCATTATATCCTAAAGAAATTAAAAAATAAAATTTTCATTGTTAAACAATTGAATTTGCCACAGCAATAACATGTATTGGTTTGGTCCTTCAAAGGGAGCCTTTATCGGCACCTTCAATTAACATATGCAGACATGCCTACCATTCTGTATTTTGTGTATTAGTCCTGCAAAATGCCCAAATTTGTCTTTGCGTCCCGCAAATACGCATGCGCAGATTTGATAATTTCCTGTTCCAGTTGGTAATAGCATTATCACCAACTGGAACAGGAAATTACCAATTCTGCGCATGCATGATGGTTTAAAATTGACATTGCAAACGCGTGAACTGAGGCAGTTATACAAAAGTATGCATTTACAGATTCTTTTATATACTGATTGTTGATTCTGGACAACAATTATTGGCTTCTAAAGCATTTTGATGTGGAAGAAAGTGATTCACAACTTGCATCAAAGAAAGCTCAATGTTTTTGTAAAGAATTACGCTAACAGGTATGAATTCAAGCCAGGAAAAAATGCAGACACTAACGCTAACAGGTATGAATTCAAGCCAGGAAAAAATGCAGACACTAACGCTTTCTGCTTTCTGCGACATCTGTAATTGTGAATTTTCAATGTCTGAAGGAATGTTCAATTTACAGACACATTTTAGAAAAATGGCATTCCAACCTTGAAAAAGCTGTCCTATGCTGCCAACATGGAAGCAAATCGTATCTCTGACAACATTGAAGAATAAAACTGCCTCATTTTATTTCTGCATTTCTAAAGGACACCAGTTATATTGTAATTTTAGAACCTCCAACCTGAATCATCAAAAAAGGTAATGAAAACCAGCTGGTCACATGAACTTAAATATGTCACAAGTAGTTACACCTGCATGTATTCAATGGCAAAAAGATTAAGGAAATATTTTTACTTGTTATGTATTTAACACCCTGACAGTTGAGATAAAAGGACAGTTGATAAAACTTGATCTGGTACTCATATGCAACTAGCAGCTAATTATAGACTTGCACAAATTTCAACATGTACACATCAGGTCCAATATTCACATGACAATAACAATTTCTAATGTTAAACATAATTTGTTGAAAGTCAGATACTGATTGTAAAAGAATGCACACATATTTCTGAACATATCAAAACTACCAAAAACCAGTCACTGCCCCAGCAACCTTCAGTCACATTCATCAAGCAGAGAGCACATGCGGACATGAAAGACAATACAATAAAACCCACTGTTCACCACCAGTGCTTGTATGGCTTGTATCCTTGCTTATCAATTTACCTGTCTTACACATACTATACATCTACAAGCAATGACACTCCTATCCTTTTCTGGTCTGGGTGTTAAATACATAACCGGTATACTTGTTTTCTTAATCTTTTTGCCATTGAATACATGCAGGTGTAACTGTGTGACATTTAAGCTGGTTTTCAGCTAACCTATGTTGCCACCATGAAAGCAAATCCAATCTCTGATAACACTGAAGAATAAAACTGCCTCAATTTGTTTCTGCATTTCTAAGGACAACCATTATATTGTAATTATATTGTAATTTTAGAACCTTTAACCTGAATTATCAAAAAAGGTAGTGTTCTAACTTTTTATGACCAAAGGAAACTGTTCAACAATTCTCAATTTGGTAAATTTTTGTAACAAAAATTTCTAAATGTGTAGAAATCTGCAAGCTTGCTGGTGGATCATAATGAGATTTCGGCAGCTGACCTATTTTTCTGGACCAGTGGGAGGGCATTATTCCATTCATTGCATTTCACCTGCATAGATGTTAGTGCAGTCATTGCCAAGTTAGGTGGTAATGTTGAACGATGGCTGCCAATTTTTTTTAATAAATATTTTATGTAGACTGACTTAGGCTGTGTGACTTAGCTTGAGATAAAAGTTTATTTGTAATAAAAAAAGTTCCATGCAAAATGGGAGAAGTGTTGTATGCATTACGTATTGAGGAGTTTTAGTTGTTTAAATGTTTTTGGTTTTATTGGCACAGGTTAATTCAGGGTTTCTCATGGTGAGGGGGAGCAAGAAGGGCAGAAATTTAGTGGACATTGTTAGGTCACATGGCTTAAAAGTAGTTTTTTTTTTTTAATTGTGACATTGGGAAGCCATTGAGCTCTGTAGGGTTTGTTCTGCAGTTGATGAAACTGAGGTAATTAAGGTTTAGCTAAAATTTACTACAACTTAACTGATTAGAACAAGATGTTACAATTACTGTAAATATTTTGTGTTACTGAAAACTGTCCAACTTGTGGAAAATAATCTGTAACTTAATGAAGTATTTTTATGGCTGCATACCTGTCAACTCTTGTCAGGAAAAATAGTCTCCAGAGTTTTGGGATTGTTCTGTGCCAACCTCCAAATTTCATACTATCTCCTTATTTTGCATAAAACTGTTAATATTTCGATTTTCATTTCTTCTGTAAATAAATGCTACATATATCTTGCACATTCCACATACATATTTGTGGTTGTTTACATTAAAACAAAATATGTCTTTAATGATCAAGATATGTTTATCAAAGCATTATTTCTCAACTATTTTTGCATTTTGGAGGTATTCTGCAGAATTGTACCTATATTTCAAAGATATACTTTAGTGCAAATAAGAATCTTTAATATACATGCTGTGGTGCCTTGATGTAAACATGTTAATCAAATGAGTGTTGTACCAAATGTTTATTCTTGTCATGCTGGGATTATGTTTTAAAGAGTTAATATTACAATTTTCAAGGCAATATGAAAATGTAATTGCAGATGCAATAATGCAATATTTTAATGCAATAATGCTTAAACAATAATTTGAAGAAAAAGGAATAGGTTACTATTGTAAATGCTTTTATCAACCTGATGAAAATGCTTTTGATTGACCAAATTATACGCATTTGAATTAGGAAGAAATACTAAGGAAACCGGAAAATTAAATATATCTA